CTACACATTTGTGGAGTGAGCACCAGTAAAAGTTCAGTGTTATGGCATGCCAGACTTGGACATCTTTCTTTACCTAGACTATAAGAGATTAAGAAACATTGTCATGATGTAAAAGTTTCAGATTTTGGTGATTGTGAGATTTGCCATTTGGCTAAACAAAAGAGAGTTCCCTTTCATAGAAGTACTTACATTGCTAAAGTGGTGACACCCTAGATGGGTGCTGGATCAGAATTGCGCAGCTCAATCCAAAGGAATCAAGATTGTGGGATATCTTTTCACTATCAACTTGTTTTTCTTCCTCGTAACACTTTGTTAGTGTGTCAATATCCTAGCATTTTGAGGGAGCGTTTGCAGTTTTTCCTTTTTCACTTTTTATGTTGTTGATGTCTTGGGTAAACTCCTCAACAGCTTGGATAGTGAGATCTGTCCTTGATTTAGTAAAAAAAATTCTTTGAGATCCTACACATATGAAACATTCTGATCATTAACAAGGCACTTAAGGCGCCTTTCCATGTTGGAGATGAGTATGAATGTCATGGAATCACATGTTTGTTGTCTTGACATTGTGAACCTTTGAAATGATCACTTGGCAGAGAGGAGTAAATGGCAAGAAACTGGGTAGTTTCTGGGTAGATTCTTTTATTTACCAAGTCTTCTGCTGTTAACATGTCAATATTAATTGCGGGAAACTGCATTTGTTTTGTGTCTAATAAGTTAATAAGCATTCCCTACGCGGTGATTTTTTCCACCTGCAAGAAATTCTTAAACAGTTGATACTGATTATTTCGTGTTAATAGCTGGCATTAATGAATGAGGTTTGTAGAGGATGATCCAGTACTTATGTCTAAGTTTTAACTTGATTTCACATTTGCAAATCTAATTACTTGAATTGGCATTCACTCTGGATTTTTGGCTTTGTTCTTTTAGGTACAAATTTGATGACGAACATGTGACAAAAGAAGACGTGAAGAGGGTATTAGAAGAATACGGTGGCGAGGAAGAAGTAATGGTTTGTCAAATCTATGATCCATTGTGTAATATGACTAACGAGTATAGCTTGGCTTATCTTATCCTTCTGGTTCTGCATCTGCCGCAGATGGAAAACTCGAATGCATATATGTTTGTCTATATACGTGAAAGTGACATAAAGAAAATCTACAATATGGATGGAAACTAAAAAGGTAATTGTTGAGCAGTTGAGAGTGAGTAAGTTTTTGTTGTAGCCAAGAGCACTTTAGGGTTGTGGGTTTGATTTTTGTGGATTAATTTGTTAGGTGTTGCCGTCCACAGATCTGATGTTATGGAGAGAGGGAAAGCGGGGAGCCGTAGTCGTGACGACGAGAGAGCAGCTGAAATCCAAGAGGCTTTCGAAACAATGTAATTACCGTAGTTGTAGCAGAGTATTCAGAAGTTGAGGGTAGGTTGGTCTGGACGGCGAGTGGGATTTGGAGGTCGGTGACGGTGAGGAGCAGGGGATGCAAACATTTTTTTGTTTCTCTTTAGGTAATATACGATGGGAGGAACAGGTGAAAAGACATGTTTGATTGGTTGTAACCAAGTATATCAAGTAAATTTGGTAGGTTCCTAAATCGTGGCCGGTGGCCAAAGACAAGAAACAACTCAAACGACGAAGGTAAGGGCATGAAGAAAACAATATGAGAACACTTAAAAGGCTAAATGAACAAAATGTCAATACACCATTAACCATCCAATCAAATTCATCCATCTTGACAACTAACATGCTTTTAGGGTCAAACATATGCATTCAAGTTTAATAACCAAACATTGATTCAACAAATTACAATTCTTGTGGTTTGGACAATTCATTGAGCTTTTGGTGGGCATCTCACCGACAATGACAAGTGTCCCATATGCGAGTCAGAGATCAAAACTAATGTACATTGTTTGCGAGACTGCAACAAGGTGAAGCAAATTTGTGAGAGAATGGTTCCTCAGGAACTTTAGCAACAATTCTTTACTGCAGATCAGGAAAGCTGGCTTGCCAAAAACTTGGAAAGAGATGACGAAGTAGAGGAAACAGGGGAGTGGAATAGCTTTTTATCCCTCATCTACTGGTACATTTGGAAGCACCGAAATGATTTCATATTCAAAGCTACAAGGCTGTCGAGATCAACTTTGGTCAATTGCATTGTTTCCAAAGCAAAGGACTGGGTTAAGACATGGAGATCTGCCACCTGATCTGCCACCTGATCAATTGCATTGTTTCCAAAGCAAAGCCCCTCGCCCAAACCTATGAGGGAGGAAAGGCTTATAGGCTGGAATCTGCCACCTGCCGGATGGTGTAAACTAAATACCGATGGGGCAGCTCAGGGCAATCCAAAGCTTATGGCGGCAAGAGGTTGTATCAGGGACAAGGATGGAGAATGGCTTGGAGGTTTTTGCTGCAACATAGGCACCGGATCAACCATACTCTCGGAACTTTGGGGCATTCATAAAGGCTTGGAATTAGCGTGGAGAATGGACATCCGTTGCTTGATTGTTGAGACAGACTCCAAACTGGCACTGCAATTGATTGACAGCATAACGGATCCGGTTCATCCTCACGCCACCCTTTTAACCATGATTCGCAGGCAGATTGCTCAGAGTTGGATAGTTCGCTTGGTTCATACGTACCGTGAAGGGAACAGAGTCGCGAACTGGCTCTCGAAGCATAGTCTCCTCTATCCCTTTGGTACGCATGAATTAAACAAACTACCAACTGATCTTGTGAGGCTTTTGAGGGAAGACAACATTGGAACAAGCTTTCCTAGACAAATCATTATCGACCCAAGTTAAGTGGTGTATAGCTTGGTACTCTGTTTGCTTTATTTTGCTGTTTGGTAGCAGAGACTCACTGGGGCTGAACTTCGTAGGAGGTTTTGGCGTCCTATGTAGTCTGCTATTTTGTAACCTTAGTTCCTTGGCTTTCCCATATTCATGTTAAGCTAAAATCAAGCAAATAATGCCTAGTTGCCTACCAAGGCGTCCAAACCACATATATGCATTCACTCTCATTCAAATTTGAGTCACGTGACACAAACTTCTCATGCCAAGTCCTAGCCATAAAATGGTTAAATTCTTATTCTCATTCACCCTACATTTCAACCCGTTCAAGGATGACAAGTCCTGGCCCTAAAATGGTTAAATTCTTACTCTCATTCACCCCATATTTCAACCCGTTCAAGGATTATTCTTTTGATAATGTGGCAAAATAAACCAGAATTTAAGCCTTTAGGAATTGTCTTGATGATAGTATGTCACTCAAAAAACAATAAAAGATTATTTGGAATAAGAAAATGGAAGTTGTGGGTGCTTTGTGGTCGTTTGCAGTGGAAAAAATGAAGAAAATGAGGATTTGAAAGTGTGAAATTGGGGAAATAGTGATCTCGATCGGGAACTTCCCCTTTTGTGGCCGATGACGAGTTCACGAGTATTTTCAAAGAGTTCACAGTCGTGATCTTTGGAATTGGACATTGATCTTTTGAATCAGGACTTAAGTTCACGGGATTGTGGAGCAAGTTCACGAGAGTGTAATTCTTCTCGAGCCCGTGATATTTCTACTGTAGGCTAAATGCAATTTTTCACATACACCTTCATGCAAACATTCTATCAACAAGTTATCATCACCAAATACACATTCATACGTATCTTAACCATGTAAGTTTCCATTCACTTTTAATAATGATAAAAGCTCCGCAAAATAAATTTCCAATCATGCAAGTCCATTATTAAGAGTAGAGAAAAGCGGATGCAAACCGAATGTTGGGGTACCTTCCAACTATTGCATCTTTAGGGTCGTTTCGCAGAACTCATTGCCGTTTGGGAGGTAAGTGGATAGCACTCTCCCAAACTCAACCCAGAGATTGTTATATGCTCCCTTTGATACAAGCCCCAGTGCCACCCATGAAATCGAGTGGTTGGGGCAAACTCGAAACTCTCAATCGTGAGTGCCTTAAAGCGCTCCCCAATATCATATTCCTTTATGATCTGGCCAAGCTTGACACTTTTGCATTTTTTCATTTTGATTTTGCCCTTGAAGTTCGGACTCCATACCTCCAACATGAACTGCATTAACTTCTTATTCTTAACATTTTGCTCACTTGAAAATCTTAGCAATTCCTTCATCTTAATTCATAGTGCTTCAATGTTCACCATTTTCTTTGCATCATTCTTCTTTTCAACATCCCACTCTACCCTTTGCTTGATCTTGTTTACCATATCAATGAACTTAAATTTCGGATGCGAAGGAAGAGCTGGAGTAGAAATAACTTGGTCACAGTCGAATGCTATGTCCTCCCACTTAAATAGTTTGTGGACATTGGGAAGTGGGGTGATAGTGTAATGTATATGCTCTTCTCCAACCTCAATGTGATCCAGTTTCCATCCACATCAATTATAGTCCTTGATGTTGGCAGAAAAGGACCCCCAAGTATAATCAGTGTTTTCATGTCACCCTTCATGTCCATTATAACAAAGTCAATTGGGTAGAAAAATGAGCACCCCTTACTCAAGAATAGGGTCTTCAAACGAGCTCGGGTAAGCTTGTTTGAATGAGTTTTTTGATGGAAACGAAAGGGAACTCTTACACCAGGTAGAGTGCTCGATCGTTATGAGGTCTCCTTTGATGTAATCAAGTGGGTTTGCTCGATTAATAGGCCAAGATTCAGCAAGCTTTGATCACAACCAAAACCAAGACAACTCACAATTTAAAACATTGCAAGCTTATGCCTGGGGCGAATTTAGGACTAAGCCACAAGTAATTGTTTGGTATTCTGTTCATTGATTATTGCTTGTTGGGAATACAGTTCAAGCATATACTACAACTCTTCCTAACTGCTCAAATTTATTCTAAAATCAGTAAGGTCCATTGTGTGCTCTTGGCTCTCAAAGTACTTAATGCTCTGGCGTTATTATTTTGTTGATTAGATTCAGGTGTGGTCCACTATCGCAATGTATTGAATGAGTATTTCCTGATATGCTTACTTTGTGTTTTCCCAGATGTTGAACATACCTTCAATGGAACGACGAGCAACTGGAGTTTCAAATCATTTATACCCCTCAGTGATCTGTTTGATCCTACTAAGGGATATCTTGTCAATGATACTTTAATTGTTGAAGCTGTTGTAAGGGATTTTCTGGATGATTGGTCTTATGACTCTAAGGAAAAGAAAGGTTATGCAGGTCTAATGAATCAGGGAGCAACATGCTATATGAACTCCCTCCTACAAATCCTGTACCATATTCCTCGCTTTAAAAGGGTTGTTACCATTGCAATTTTCATGTTGCTGGATTTGAATGTTTATTATTATTGTACTGTTAGAATGATGTTATTTTGAATTAATTTGTAGTCCGTATACAGTATACGAACAATTGGGAATGACAAGCCTAACGGAAGCATTCCTTCAGCTCTGCAGAATCTATTCTACAGGCTTCAAGCTAAGAAAACAAGTGTTTCAACCAAGGAATTAACAAAATCATTTGGATGGAAGAAAATTGATTCTTTCAGGCAACATGATGTGCAAGAATTCAATATGTGAGAAGTTAGAGGATGCAATGAAGGTGACAAAATCTAATAGGCTGCATGTGTCTTTTTGTCTTTTGGTGGGATTTGCATATGTTATTAGTTATGGGTATTTATCATTATTGTTGTTATCTTAATCTTCTATGGGATTAGGGAACTACTGCGGAGGGCACAATCAAGATGCTATTTGAGGGTGTTATGAGCTACATTCGGTGTCTGTCTGTGAACTACAATTCCACGGGGAAGGAGTTCTTCTATGGTACTAACATTTTCTTGGCATGTGAATGTTCTGTATAGCACTCTAATGGTAGGATGCTGAAATGCACATTACATGGCAGATCTGCAGCTCGATGTAATAGGTTGTAAGGATGTTTATGCATCTGTTGACAAGTATGTGGAAGTTTAACAACTTTGGGGTGATAACAGATACCATGCTGAAGGACATGGTCTACAGGTTAGTCAATCATTGTCCGTGTCTGGGATCTCAGTGTTATTTCAGAAATCCTGATTTAAGACAAACTGATCTCACTACAGATGTATGCATCATCAATGGGTGTTTCAAACTTATGCCACTGGCTCATTTGAATGATAAATGCTCCAAGGAAATCAAGTTAACCTTCTTGCACCCATTTCTCAAGTTTGACACTTTGCAATGTTGGGATACTGACCCTCTGCACCCCTTTCCGGGTCTGTCACTTTGTGATTCTAACCCTCTTGCACCGATTTTCGGGCTTGGCACTTTGCAAGGATATCCAATTGGGATTATTCTCTCTCGTAACCATTTCGGGTTTGGATCTTTGATATATACTCGTGGCCTGGTCTACAGTCATCCATAGCAGTCCAGCATATTACCGGGCAGTTTACCCCCCCCCCCCAAATTTTTTCGCTTTCGTCTGCTATATACAAGCCAGGATGGTTCATTATATGTTTAACTGCTCTACCCAAGCTAATCGCTCAAATGATTTCTGTGGACATCACTGATAGTCTGTGCTTGGTGTTTTCAGGATGCAAACAAAGGTTTCTTGTTTCTTCGCTTCCCACCTGTTCTTCAACTGCATCTAAAGCGCCTTGAATATGATCATTCGCAGGGCACCATCCTCAAGGCGAGTATTTTAATTTGATGTACATCTCAAGCAAGTAACAGGCTTTGGTGTTCCTTGAAGAGCTTATTTCTATGGTGCATGCTTTATTAACTATTTAACCTATGCTTAATAGGCCTGATTCTCCTTTTTAATGTGAATTGTGTATTGCATATCAATGATCAGTATGAATATCCTCTTCAACTTGATCTTGATAGAGAAGGTCACAAATATTTGTCCCCATATGCTGATTACAATGTTTGTAATCTCTACACTCTTCATAGGTGAGATTATTAAGTGTTTTTGATGTAGTTTGTGTTGGCATACTTGGTGGTCAAATGTGTTTCTCATACTAGGGTGTTAGTACTTCTACTTATGTGCTCTCCTAGTTTGTGATAAAGTGTATTGGTTCATGCTGGAAGGGCAAATGCAGGGCATTATTATGCTTTTATTAGACCTCCTATATCGGATGAATGGTATGCATATGGTCAAGATTGTGGGATATCTTTGCACTATCAACTTGTTTTTCTTCCTCGTAACACTTTGTTAGTGTGTCAATATCCTAGCATTTTGAGGGAGCGTTTGCAGTTTTTCCTTTTTCACTTTTTTTGTTGTTGATGTCTTGGGTAAACTCCTCAACAGCTTGGATAGTGAGATCTGTCCTCGATTTAGTAAAAAAAATTCTTTGAGATTCTACACATATGAAACATTCTGATCATTAACAAGGCACTTAAGGCGCCTTTCCATGTTGGAGATGAGTATGAATGTCATGGAATCACATGTTTGTTGTCTTGACATTGTGAACCTTTGAAATGATCACTTGGCAGAGAGGAGTAAATGGCAAGAAACTGGGTAGTGTCTGGGTAGATTCTTTTATTTACCAAGTCTTCTGCTGTTAACATGTCAATATTAATTGCGGGAAACTGCATTTGTTTTGTGTCTAATAAGTTAATAAGCATTCCCTACGCGGTGATTTTTTTCCACCTGCAAGAAATTCTTAAACAGTTGATACTGATTATTTTGTGTTAATAGCTGGCATTAATGAATGAGGTTTGGAGAGGATGATCCAGTACTTATGTCTAAGTTTTAACTTGATTTCACATTTGCAAATCTAATTACTTGAACTGGCATTCACTCTGGATTTTTGGCTTTGTTCTTTAAGGTACAAATTTGATGACGAACATGTGACAAAAGAAGACGTGAAGAGGGTATTAGAAGAATACGGTGGCGAGGAAGAAGTAATGGTTTGTCAAATCTATGATCCATTGTGTAATATGACTAACGAGTATAGCTTGGCTTATCTTATCCTTCTGGTTCTGCATCTGCCGCAGACAGAAAACTCGAATGCATATATGCTTGTCTATATACGTGAAAGTGACATAAAGAAAATCTACAATATGGATGGAAACTAAAAAGGTAATTGTTGAGCAGTTGAGAGTGAGTAATTTTTTGTTGTAGCCAAGAGCACTTTAGGGTTGTGGGTTTGATTTTTGTGGATTAATTTGTTAGGTGCTGCCGTCCGCAGATCTGATGTTATGGAGAGAGGGAAAGCGGGGAGCCGTAGTCGTAGTCGTAGTCGTGACGACGAGAGAGCAGCTGAAATCCAAGAGGCTTTCGAAACAATGGTTTTATCGTAGTTGTAGCAGAGTATTCAGAAGTTGAGGGTAGGTTGGTCTGGACGGCGAGTGGGATTTGGAGGTCGGTGACGGTGAGGAGCAGGGGATGCAAACATTTTTTTGTTTCTCTTAAGGTAATATACGATGGGAGGAACAGGTGAAAAGACATGTTTGATTGGTTGTAACCAAGTATATCAAGTAAATTTGGTAGGTTCCTAAATCGTGGCCGGTGGCCAAAGACAAGAAACAACTCAAACGACGAAGGTAAGGGCATGAAGAAAACAATATGAGAACACTTAAAAGGCTAAATGAACAAAATGTCAATACACCATTAACCATCCAATCAAATTCATCCATCTTGACAACTAACATGCTTTTAGGGTCAAACATATGCATTCAAGTTTAATAACCAAACATTGATTCAACAAATTACAATTCTTGTGGTTTGGACAATTCATTGAGCTTTTGGTGGGCATCTCACCGACAATGACAAGTGTCCCATATGCGAGTCAGAGATCGAAACTAATGTACATTGTTTGCGAGACTGCAACAAGGTGAAGCAAATTTGTGAGAGAATGGTTCCTCATGAACTTTAGCAACAATTCTTTACTGCATATCAGGAAAGCTGGCTTGCCAAAAACTTGGAAAGAGATGACGAAGTAGAGGAAACAGGGGAGTGGAATAGCTTTTTATCCCTCATCTACTGGTACATTTGGAAGCACCGAAATGATTTCATATTCAAAGCTACAAGGCTGTCGAGATCAACTTTGGTCAATTGCATTGTTTCCAAAGCAAAGGACTGGGTTAAGACATGGAGATCGGCTACTGATAGGATGAGCTCCTCGCCCAAACCTATGAGGGAAGAAAGGCTTATAGGCTGGAATCTGCCACCTGCCGGATGGTGTAAACTAAATACCGATGGGGCAGCTCAGGGCAATCCAAAGCTTATGGCGGCAAGAGGTTGTATCAGGGACAAGGATGGAGAATGGCTTGGAGGTTTTTGCTGCAACATAGGCACCGGATCAACCATACTCTCGGAACTTTGGGGCATTCATAAAGGCTTGGAATTAGCGTGTAGAATGGACATCCGTTGCTTGATTGTTGAGACAGACTCCAAACTGGCACTGCAATTGATTGACAGCATAACGGATCCGGTTCATCCTCACGCCACCCTTTTAACCATGATTCGCAGGCAGATTGCTCAGAGTTGGATAGTTCGCTTGGTTCATACATACCGTGAAGGGAACAGAGTCGCGAACTGGCTCTCAAAGCACAGTCTCCTCTATCCCTTTGGTACGCATGAATTAAACGAACTACCAACTGATCTTGTGAGGCTTTTGAGGGAAGACAACATTGGAACAAGCTTTCCTAGACAAGTCATTGTGGTGTATAGCTTGGTACTCTGTTTGCTTTATTTTGCTGTTTGGTAGCAGAGACTCACTGGGGCTGAACTTCGTAGGAGGTTTTGGCGTCCTATGTAGTCTGCTATTTTGTAACCTTAGTTCCTTGGCTTTCCCATATTCATGTTAAGCTAAAATCAAGCAAATAATGCCTAGTTGCCTACCAAGGCGTCCAAACCACATATATGCATTCACTCTCATTCAAATTTGAGTCACGTGACACAAACTTCTCATGCCAAGTCCTAGCCATAAAATGGTTAAATTCTTATTCTCATTCACCCTACATTTCAACCCGTTCAAGGATGACAAGTCCTGGCCCTAAAATGGTTAAATTCTTACTCTCATTCACCCCATATTTCAACCCGTTCAAGGATTATTCTTTTGATAATGTGGCAAAATAAACCAGAATTTAAGCCTTTAGGAATTGTCTTGATGATAGTATGTCACTCAAAAAACAATAAAAGATTATTTGGAATAAGAAAATGGAAGTTGTGGGTGCTTTGTGGTCGTTTGCAGTGGAAAAAATGAAGAAAATGAGGATTTGAAAGTGTGAAATTGGGGAAATAGTGATCTCGATCGGGAACTTCCCCTTTTGTGGCCGATGACGAGTTCACGAGTATTTTCAAAGAGTTCACAGTCGTGATCTTTGGAATTGGACATTGATCTTTTGAATCAGGACTTAAGTTCACGGGATTGTGGAGCAAGTTCACGAGAGTGTAATTCTTCTCGAGCCCGTGATATTTCTACTGTAGGCTAAATGCAATTTTTCACATACAACTTCATGCAAACATTCTATCGACAAGTTATCATCACCAAATACACATTCATACGTATCTTAACCATGTAAGTTTCCATTCACTTTTAATAATGACAAAAGCTTCGCAAAATAAATTTCCAATCATGCAAGTCCATTATTAAGAGTAGAGAAAAGCGGATGCAAACCGAATGTTGGGGTACCTTCCAACTATTGGGAGTTAAGTGGATAGCACTCTCCCAAACTCAACCCAGAGATTGTTATATGCTCCCTTTGATACAAGCCCCAGTGCCACCCATGAAATCGAGTGGTTGGTGCAAACTCGAAACTCTCAATTGTGAGTGCCTTAAAGCGCTCCCCAATATCATATTCCTTTATGATCTGCCCAAGCTTGACACTCTTGCATTCTTTCATTTTGATTTTGCCCTTGAAGTTCGGACTCCATACCTCCAACATGAACTGCATTAACTTCTTATTCTTAACATTGTGCTCACTTGAGAATCTTAGCAATTCCTTCATCTTAATTCATAGTGCTTCAATGTTCACCATTTTCTTTGCATCATTCTTCTTTTCAACATCCCACTCTACCCTTTGCTTGATCTTGTTTACCATATCAATGCACTTAAATTTCGGATGCGAAGGAAGAGCTGGAGTAAAAATAACTTGTTCACAGTCGAATGCTATGTCCTCCCACTTAAATAGTTTGTGGACGTTGGGAAGTGGGTTGATAGTGTAATGTATATGCTCTTTTCCAACCTCAATGTGATCCAGTTTCCATCCACATCAATTATAGTCCTTGATGTTGGCAGAAAAGGACCCCCAAGTATAATCAGTGCTTTCATGTCACCCTTCATGTCCATTATAACAAAGTCAATTGGGTAGAAAAATGAGCACCCCTTACTAAGACGTTCTCCACAATCTCAATGGATGTCGCTACCAACTGGTTCGCAAAGTGAAATTTCATACTTGTCGGTGTGAGAAGACCTAATCGGGTAGGGTAAAACCCAAATCCGAAGAATTTTTAGTGGGTAGGGGTAAAACTCGAACCCGAATATTGTGGGTAATGGATGGACATAGTTTTCTCAATATCCAACCCGAACCCGCCCGATTATACACTTGCATATGTATTTTATCTAGAAATATTCATTATTTTTCTCTAACATATTTTATATTTAGCATATAATATAATATTTTCCTGAAATTGTGTTGTGGT